ATGCACAAAGCTACAAAGAGTGAGAGAGCTGCATTTATTTGGCTGCTTTTCTTTCATTCATTGTCCGGTTATTGGCTAGGTCAGCCTTTATTGCCAATCCTTAATTGCCCTGGAAAGGTGGTGGTGAGCTGTCTTCTTGAACCACTGCATGCCACGAGGTATGGGTACACCTATAGTGCCGGTAGGGTGTGTTCCAGCATTTTGAACCAGGGACGGAGAAGGAGCAGCGACATGGTTATGAGTCAGGAAGTCAGTATCTTGGTTGGAAATTTGTAGGTGACGGCGTTCCCATGTACCTGCTGCCCTTGTCCTTCTAAGTAGTCGAAGGAGTGTTGGTGAGTGGCAGCAGTGTATCCTCTATATGGTACACACTACTGCGACTGAGCTTCAGTGGTGGAGAGAATGGATGTTTGTGGATGTGGTACCAATCATGCAGGTTGCCTTGTACAGATGGTGTCAAGTTTCTTGAGTTTTGTTGGGGCTGCACTCATACAGGCAAGAGGAGACTCATGCCTTGTAGATTCGTGGACAGGCTGTGGAGAGTCGGGAGGTGAGTCACTTGCAACAGGAGTCCTGCTCTTATGCCAGGATATTTAGGTGACCGGTCCAGTTCAGATTCTTGTCAGTGGTAACCCCCAGGATTGATAGAGGGGAATTCTTGCAAAGAGTCAGCAAAGGCACAATGGGCTGAATGGCCTCCTCCATTGCTGTGAGATTTGACGATCCTATTCACTCGTTCATAATAGAGGAACCATTTTTCAAATGGAATCGCCACTTCCTGTTGTATAACATAGCTGCTGGAAATTGCTGGCTTTAGATACAAGCTGGGCCTTAGGATTAAAAAAAAATCACAAACCTAAAACATATCAAAATGTCATTGAGTAAAGTTGTGGCCCATTGTGAATGAGTGCATTGAAGGGGAAGTTGGAGGAAAATAGCTTTTTTTTAATGTGCTAATTAGAAAAAATTAATACAGTGATAGTGCTTGTTATTGCGCTACTGACTAAGAGACTGGAGTAAAAATCCAGGAAACACATGTTCAAATCCCACCATGGCTGTTTTAAGAGTTTGTGTTTGGTTAATACCAGAGACACAGTGGTAGAAGCCAGATTGTTCTTTAATGTCATGTAACCTATATCTGCTACCTTCTCATCTATAAACAGGAAGTCTTGTTTGGGCTTTAGACATAAGAGCACGTCTGCTTGTTTTGCTTGAAGCAGATGTTGAACTTTTTCTGAGGTTAAACTGACACTGTTATTTCGCGCTAAAATATAATTTTAATTAGAGGAAGCAAGAAGCTACTGAATTGACAGCCCAATTCAGTCCTGCTGACAAAATGATTGCCAAATGAGAGAGGTGATTTCTTAAATGGACATTCCAGTTGAGAACAACTTCTTGGAGGGAGAGCTCAAGTAGGTCATCTGTATAACTCAACAGACAGGAAACCAGACTGTATAGACCTACCATTTACATTACTGGACAGGAAATCAAACTGTATGCACGTGCCATTTACATTACTGGACAGGAAATCAAACTGTATGGACGTGCCATTTCCCGAGTGAGACTTGCTGTAGGTGCGTCTTTTTGCAAGTTACTTGTAGCTTACCTGAAATATAAAGCATATGGAAGATATTTGGAGCAGATTCTGCAGGTCATCCGCTTTGATTTCTTGAATGTAAGGACAAGGAGACCTGGACAAATTAGCGTGAGCAGTATTAGTAAGCATCACCGTCGTTTAAAATCTTAGAATCAGCGACTAAGAAAAAAATGCCAGACAAAATAAAACAATTCATGAGTGTGGAGTAGTGTTGAGAACTGTTCACTGATATTCGGACAGTTCTCTAACAAGCTATTTATTCGTTACAGTCCAGCAATTTGATGCGCTGCACAATGGCCCAGATAATAAATAAATCTTGTTTGCAGCAGCTTTTTTATGAGGAAGTCTGAGGTCATGAGGTCAGGCCGAGCCACTAAAACCAGCAGGTGGATGTCAAATCGGCCATTTCTATTTTGTTGAACGACACGGGAGTTCTCCCAGTAGCCTGGCCAATATTTATCTTTCATCTTCTGAAATGTCCCCAACAGGTGCCTTAACCACTGTGATCACAGTCAGATTATGTCAATTTCTTTAGTGTGACTATTTTCCATGTGTAAAATAGAGACAGTCATTAGAAGCGTGTGAGTCATAGAGAGAGGTTAAACAGGAAAACAGACGCAGGCAAATGAGGAATTAAAACTGTGAGAAAGACAGCAGAGAGTGTCCTTTGGGCCAAGTGTACTGAGGGCAAAGAGTTTTTGTGGATAAATTAGGTGTGTGACATATAAATATTTTTATTGAAACTTTAGAATTCAACCTACTGGCATATCACTTTGTGAAGGGTTTGAAAGAAACAAGTTCAGGGGGTGTCCTTCTGAAACAGTCACTAATCCTGTATGTATCTGAGAGCAGGTGACTGCAAAACACCTTGGAGTATTGATGGAAGATTGCTGTCACTGTGGGGTTTATGTCAGGGGGAGTAAACATTGAAAGGCATTTTCTTATCTTTTATTTAGAATAATCAAAGATCAAATTTTAGCCCAGAAAACCCAGACAGTAAATGCTTTTAGCAGCATTGGAAGAGACCTAATTAGGATCAGAAATAAGTCTGGTTTCTCTTCAAGAAAGGAGTATAGGACTGTTCAGGGAAAGCACGTTTACCTTGATGTAAAGGTTTAATTTGTGAAGTTTCCAGACCTGGGAGTGTTTGGTTAAAAATGTGCAGATTATTAAAAGATTGAGAAAGTCTGAGCTTTGTGTTTTGTGAGCATCAGAAGAGTTCACAGGAAGGAACTTCATAGAATCCCGACAGTGTGGAAACAGGCCATTCGACCCAACAAGTCCATCCATCTACCCTTTCCCCATAACCCTGCATTTCCAATGTCTAATTCAACTAACTTACACACCTCTGGACACTATGGGCAATTTAGCATGGCCAATCTGCCTAACCTGTGCGCCTTTGGACTGAATGTGGGAGGAAACTAGAGCACGCGGAGGAAACCCACACAGACACAGGGAGAATGTGTGGAGTTTGCACAGACAGTTGCCCGAGGGTAGAATCGAACCCAGGTCCCTGGCTCTGTGAGGCAGCAGTGCTAACCACTGAGCCACTGAACTAAGGAGAATCAGTTAAGTTGAACCTAATGATTTTGTATAGATGTGTCATTTCTCTGGATTGCTGTAAAGTGGAGCAGTTGAGAAAATAGATGAGAATTTGTTTTGTTGTTTGCTTTAAGATTTTTTAAACTGTGTACTGTATGTAGGCAGGTTTTATTTTCAGACATTTGTGTGATCTGTTTTATTGTTAAAGAAAATCTGCAACTTTGTGTGGCTATGCTTCAGTGAATGACCTCCATGGCAAATAAAATAAAATCTGTCAAGCCAGATTTCATTCTGGGATCTGACTCGTAACATCAGTGAGAATGGTAACAGTGATCAGGAAGTGCATCATGGACAATGTGGGATCATCCAAGTCTGCTGAACTACAATACCCAGAGTTCTGCTGCTAGATGGTTGCCAAATGTGTTTGGCAGATATTGTGGGCTGTACAAAAAAAAGTATACATTTTCCAGGTATGGATACCCAGTTTACAAACATCAACTGTGAAGCAGAGAAATAACTTTAAAAGAGATTGACTTGTTTGTGCAGAAATTGAGACATTTGATGCTGTCCTGGGTGTGAAGGCTTTCTTTGTGTTGTAGTGGTGATGATTTGGAGTGGTTTCTTTCACAGTTCTGTGGATTGAGTCAGGCAGGTAATCAGTCAGCAGGAGTGAGGCTAGGAGGGGGTGAACATTGTTCACAGGCTGATCATTTGAGAGTCTGGGAAATACCCTTCTTGATGACAGTGCAGCAGTTGGTACAGCAGGGGACAAAAGAATATGGTTAATCTTCTTGTAAAGAGTTGGTTTAGCAAGCTGGGTTTGAAAACATGTCTTATTGCTTCAGATCATTGAGAATTCTGCTGAAGAATAAAATTAAACTCCCCTTGGGAGATGCCAGCATGGGAACACTGACACGAGAAGAAACACAACTTGAAATGTTTCGGCTCTAGATCCTAGAAGGCTGTTCTGTGACCTGTTTATTGCCCTGTACTCATTTAGAAAGTCTCTCCATCTCTGCTGACATGACTTACTTGACTGAGGTTCCCTGGGCTGTGAATGGCCATATGAGCTACTCTCTTTCCTTCCTCTGGGACAACTTGCCGATTGTTTTTATTTTGAGGCGAAGAACGTTGTCAGAGATGAGCCTTCATTTTAAAAAAACAAAGCGCCTCCCTGGGTTAAACTCTGAGATCTGTGTAGCTGGGAATATGCTCCTGAGTCTTAAAAACCAAAAGAACTACGGATGCCGTAAATCAGGAACAAAAACAAAGTTGCTGGAAAAGCTCAGCAGGTCTGGCAGCATCTGTGAAGGAGAAAACAGAGTTAACATTTCGGGTCCGGTGACCCTTCCTCATAACCTCAGTAATGTTGTACAACTACCACTGAACTTGAAGGAGCGGGTTGCTGTACAGCAAACTTTGGTTTAACTTGTGAGTGCTGTGCTTGATAAACTGGCAAAAAAAAAGCTATATACCTGAAATGCCAGAAATTTACCGCATTGTTGCAATGTCCGAGTTGTCAGTTGAGGATATGAGTAAGAGGGCTCTCTGCAGGTAAGTTTTATTTAAGGCAAAGTTGCATTATTATTTAATGATGTAAATAAAATATGACAATGATATGTATACCTCCTGCATTACATTTTTATTACTTTGTGTTTGTAACATGGATCTCTTGATTATCCAGGATACTTGGTCAACTGGCATGCTTCTGCTCCCATAGATTCCCGATAGTAGAAAGTTTGGTGTACTTCAGCTGGCCTTGATCAATGAGAGTTGAAGGAAGCCAATTCTCATTAAGAAGGGAGCTTGAGGAAAAGGTCAGCACCTTGTACTGAGGATCCTGTATCTGTTTGATTTGCAGCTTTACTTGTGTGCCTCCTCCAGTGACTGTGATGACAAGACCCAGTATTTCGAGGGTGGCAAGTGCTGTTTCAAATGTGGTCCTGGTGAGTACAAGTGGGTGGAGGTTAAATAGGGAGGGATAAGGGAGTTACTGACAAAAACAAAACATTTTCTTAATATAAGTATGGAAAATACTAGAAAAAACCTGTAGTGTTTATCTGTACCAATTGAAGAAGAAAGATAGGTTGAAACTGAGAAGTGAAGTTTCATTCGCAACGAGAGTGTTTTGTTTGATAAAAGTATTGACAAAATATTCTTGATATACCTCAAAGGCCGAGTGACCCACTAGATGTTTTCCAGTGTTTTTCTTGTTCTCAGTTGGTTTTTTAAACCAGTTTCCTGCTAATGACTCTGTGATTGTATTTGTAGGGAGAGTACAGAGGATTGTAAAGTTGTTAATCTGTTGTAAAACATACAGTATCAAAGATATGTAACCTATTAAACCATCAATCAAATGTAAACACAGCCCCAATATGGGATAAGTGGTTCTAGATCCCTCCAGACTTTATTATCAAAGGCATTAATAAGCTGAAGAGGGTTCAGAAGAGATTTGCCAGGATGTTGCCGGGAATGGAGGTTTGAGTTATAAGGAGAGACTGGATAGGCTGGAACTTTTTCTCACTGGCGTGTAGGAGGTTGAGTTGTGACATTTTAGAGGTTTAGAAAATCATGAGCGATATAGATAAGGTAAATGGCAGCCATCTTTTCCCGAGGGTGAGGGATTTCAAGACTAGGGGAAATACTTTTAAGGTGAGAGGAGAAAGATTTTAAAAAGAAATGAGGGGCAGTTTTTTTACACAGAGTGGTCCGTGTGTGGAATGAACTTCCAGAGGAAGTGGTGGATGCAGGTATAGTTACAATGTTTAAAAGACATTTAGATAGGTACATGAATAGGAAAGGTTTGGAGAGATATGGGCCAAGTGCAGTGGTGGGATTAATTTAGTTTGGGATTATGGTTAGCATGAACTCTTTGGACCGAAGGGGCGGTTTCCATATTGTGTGACTCTATGACTCAGTTAAGCGTTCCTAATACCCTCAGCTAACCCTGGAACATGTCAGTAATGCAATCTGTTGAAGTTGAAACCCTAGATGGCATTTTTTAAAAGCTGCAAATGATGCTTCATTTCCACTTTGAAGTGGATTTCCCATGAATCAATGGAGTGTAGTAGGTGCTTAGCTTGTTCTATTGTTAAACTGCAGGAATATATTTTATCAACACTAAAGATCAGTGGACATTTGTGTATCAGTCCAACACAGAATAATAGGTATACAACAGTGATGCAGCGTAGAAGGAGACCATTCGGTCAATTGTGTTTGTACCAGCTCTCCAAATGAGCATCTTGGCTTAGTGCCATTCTCTTTCCTTATCCCCATGTCATAGCACATTGTTTCTATTTAAATAATCATCCAATGTCCTCTTGAATAAAATGGCATACATGACACAAGAGTTTGCTGGCATATCTTCAGTTTTCAGTGTGCTTTCTCCATTGGGACAAGTACAGAAATGCATGTCAAGACTTGCTCACTACAATGGTCAATTTGTGTTTGCAGGACAGAGTGCTATGATGAATCCTTGCATTAAAAACAGATCCACATTAAAATGCAGCAGCTTAGGTGACATTTGAAGATGTTAAACCATTTACCACTTCCTGTCAGAATGTTTCAGACTCCAGAGCAGGTTTCCCTCAGTGGTCATGCACACTCAGATCTGGCATGTTTATTTAATTCTTCTAGCACGTGGAAATAATGTGAGGAAGGGAATTGAAATTTCTTATGGTCTTCACAACGGCGTTCTGACTGTGGATGACGTGTGCGCATGTTTTGCACTTCCTGACCTATGAGAAGGCCACAGAGAAACAGCTTGAGATCAGGACGGCGCTGCCAATAGAAATTTGCAGTCAAAAATCTTAACATGTTTTTCTCATTCCCACCTCCATCGGGAGCTGAAAATCTGGCTTTCAGCCTCAGTAGCATTTTTGTTTTGTTACATAAGAACAGAGAAGCCAGGAGCAGGCCTAAACCGTTTGATCCCTCAAGCCTGCCCCCTGTATTCAATAAGATCACAGCTGCAGGCTTCCACTCCACTTCTGTAGAAACTAGGGGCAGCAGTAGGGCCATTTGGCCTTTCAAGCCTGCTGCACCTTTCAGTACGATCATGTTCCCACTTTTCCCCCGTAATCTTTGATGCCTTTAAAGTCTTAAAAGAAAAAGACTTCTCTATTTATTGTATACATTCAGTGACTTGGCCTCCACAGAGAATTCCACAGGTTCACTACCCTCAGAGTGAAGAAATGTTTCCTCATCCCAATCATAAATGGCCTATCATCTATCCTGAAACTGCGTCCTCTGGCTCTAAACTCCCCAACCAGGGAAAACACTCCCTCTGCACCTAGTCTGTCCAGCCCTATTATAATGTTATATTTTTTCAATCCGATCTCCTCTCATCCTTCCAAAGTCTAGTGAGTACAGACTCAGTTGAACCAATCTCTCCTCATAGGATATTCCAGCCAGCCTCGTGAACCTTTGCTGCAGTCCCTCTATGGTAAGTACTTCGTCTCGTAGGTAGGGAGACCAAAACTGTACATGTTATCCAGGAGTGATCTCACTGAGGCCCTGTGTAACTGTGGTAAGACATCCCTACTTCTGAACTTTTTACCAGCTCATTGTAGACCTCAATAAGTCTGTATTTCAAAAATCTATCTATCTCCTGTTTAAATACTTTCAGTGATCTAATCTCCACAACTCTCTGGAGTTAATAATTCCAGATATTCACTGTCCCCTGGGAGAAGAAATTCCTTCACATCTCAGTTTCGAATGAGTGTCGTCCCCTTCTGCTGTGACTATAGCCTCTAGTTTGAAATATCCCCCACTAAACATAGAAACAGAAAATATGTGCAGGAGTAGGCCATTCGGCCCTTCGAGCCAGTACCACCATTTGATACGATTATGGCTGATCGAGCAATTTCAGGATTCCACTCCCATTTTCTTTCCACACCCCTTGACCCCCTTACCTGGAAGGGCCATGTCAGCTCCCTGTTGAATATATGTAGTGAATTGGCCCCAACAGCTTTCTGTGGCAGACAATTCTACAGGTTCACAACTCTGAGTGAAGAAATTCTTCTTCATCTCCATCCTGAATGGCTTACCCATTATTCTTAGACTGTGACCCCTAGTTCTGGACTTCCCCAACATTGAGAACATTCTTCCCGGTCTAGCATGTCCAGTCCCAGCAGGATTTTATATGTTTCTATGAGAATCCCCCCCAACTGCGTTCTTCAAACTTCCAGTGAGTACAAGTCTAGCCGATCCAGTCTATCTTCATATGTCAGCGCTGCCATCCCGGGAATCAGTCTGGTGAACCTTCGCTGGACTCCCTCAATAGCGAGCATGTCCTTCTTCAGACTAAGAGACCCTGTATAACTAGTGGAAACATCTTCTCAATATCCAACCTGTCAAACCCCTTCAGGGTCCTGCATATTTTGATCACCCCTTATTCTACTAAACTCTCATAAATAAAGGCCTATCGTATTTAGCTGTTATTGATTAGACAACCCTTTCATCCTGGCGATCAGCCAAGTGAATCTAGTAAACTGCCTCTAATGCTAGTACGTTCTTTCTTAAATAAGGGGACTAAAACTGTAAAAGACACTCCAGGTGCAGCCTTGCCAACACCCTGTACAGTTGTAGCAAGACTTCCCTGTTGTTAAACTTCAGCCCCTTAGAAATAAAGGCCAAAATTCCATTTGCTGTCTCAATACTTGCTTCTTTTGCATGCTAACCTTTTATGTTTCATGCACAAGACTGCCCAGATCCCTCTGTGCTACAATTTTAAATGATAGTCTGCCTTTTGATTTGTCTTACCAAAGTGCAGGACCTCACACTGCCTACATTAAATCCCAACTGCCTCCTTTTCACACACTTACCAAACCCATGTAAAACCCCTTTACAGATTCCTTTATATCCACATGAATACTCTTGTATCACCTATTTTTGTATTGTCAGCTAATCAATATAATCCCATTTTGCTGAACTTGTCTCACATTCCTGAACGTTATGATATCTCAAGGAAAGCTCATCCAAATTTTTTTTTAAAGGTAGATGGGAAACAATTGAGGGTCCAGGATGGATCCTTGTTATGTCTTTCCAACCTGAAAAAAGTCAGTGGTTCTGAATTCTGTATGTTAACCAATCCTTGATTTATTCCAATACTTTACATCCAATACCATGAGTTTGTATCTTGTGCAATAACCTCTTATGTGGTACCTTACTGAATGCCATCTGGAAATCCATATACATTATACCCACCAGTTAAACTTTATTGATTCGACTTGTTATGACTAAAGAATTCTGGCAAATTTATTTGACATGACTTCCCTTTCTTAAAACCATGTCAGCTCTGGTTGGTTGTGTAAAACATAGCAATGAGGCGCTCTCATCTCTTCGAGCCTGCTCCACCATTCATTATGATCATGACTTTATGTCTAACTGAGTCCTCTGTTCCCATTTTCTTCCCATACCCTTTGATCCCTTTAGCCCTAAGAACTGTAGCTAACAAACTCTTGAAAACATTCACTGTTTTATCCTGAGACACTTTCTGTGGCAGAGAATTCCACAGGCTCGCCACGGAGCAGTTTAGATTTTAGCTAAGAAGGACAAAGGGATTGATTAAGAGGTGAAAAATAGAGTATGGGAAATAAGCTTGTGGAGAGCATTGTAAAAGATTGTTTAAATATGTGAAGAGAAAAAGATTAGTGAAGATAATTGTAGGCCCCTTACAGTCAGAAACAGTGCACATTATAATGGGGAACAAAGAAATGGCAGACCAATTCAATATACAATTCAATTCTGTTTCCATAATGGACCCAAATAATGTCCCGAAATGTTGGGGAACAAAGGGTCTAGTGATGGAGAGGAACTGAAGGAAATCAGTATTAGTAGGAGAATAGTGTTGGGGAAATTGATGGGATCATAGACTGATAACTCCCCAGGATCTGATAATCTACATTCCAGAATACTTAAGGAACAGGTCCTGGAAATCATGGAT